AAATCTTATTGGTATATTTTCATTCTTTGGGCTTAAATATTTTCTTCCTCTGTTATTTTTATTTACTATCTTGAGTTCCCAGTCTCCTCTGATTTATCAGTTTTACCGTTAGTGCAGACTCTTTGGTTTCCTCAAGCCCCACACTCCTTCCCGTGGGAACACAGGCTAATGGTATCTAAGTTATTCTCAGGGACTCATGCCACTGCTCAGCCATTGTTGCTGCTAAGGGAAAGAGAGATTATTTGTGTTTAGGAAGCCTGAGGAATCTGGTAATGCTTGGAAAATAAATAGATGATTATAAACAAGTCAATCATATTTGCTTTCTCTCTTTAGGGAAAACTGGATGGTGGGTAATGATGGTGGGGAGCTATCAGAATCCATGGCTTCATCACAGCCCTATCACATTTGTGGGGATTCTTGGATGTGGATTTACCAGTCTGAAGTGTAGGAAAATACTAGATTTATCAACACAAATGTAGGAGAGTAAAGTATATTGCTGAGGATATGAGAGATCCTATTGAAATACAAGTCCTAAGAGTGCTGACTGCCAGAACGTGAATTTATGAGAAATAAAGCCCTAAAATACTTTCTACAGCAACAACAGAAAAATTGACCGCTTGGAAACAGTTTTTCCTCTCTTGGTACTTAGCTCCCATTGAGTTTAAATTGTGCTTAATTTTGTGCTAATGACAATTCAATATTACGGGACATGGAAGATGAACTGAATAAATTAAACAGCTGCTTTAAAAAAATTATTTGCATGTATTTTTTTCATGTACATTGTGTTTTATATAATGCCTTTTATCACCATCTCATCAAGTCTCAAATGCACCTTGCCTGTTCCTTCCTTCACACCTTCTTCTGTCCTCTATTCTCTGCTGTCCTGGTGATATTTTTTCTTTCTCTTCTTTTGCACCCTCTTCTTCTCTTTCCCCTCACCCTTTGAGCAGAAATACATACCCTGTTGTTATTTGTTAATTGTAGTAGCTGTATTGACCTTGCATTGCTTACTCTTTTTTGATCCTCCCTTGTCCTACTTATTTATAGCTCTTTGTCCATTTACTTTCTGTTCTCCCCATTCCCCCACCTCATCCTTCAGTTACCCTCCTGTTACCACAGTTGTAGTATTATGTAGTACTTGTTATTTTGTGACTGAGCTGGATAATGACTAAGGATGATAGAAGAATTGATGCCTTTGAGTTGTGGTGCTGAAAAAGAATATTAAACATTCTGCATAGAGAACAAACAAGTCCGTCCTCAAGAGGGGGGAAACCAGGCTGTTCCATGGAAGCAAAGATTTTGAAGCTCCGTCTCACATACTTTAGGCATGTTGCCTAAAGTTCACTCAGCATAATGTCGTCTAGACTCGCTCATGTTGTATAGTAATTTTTAAATTAGTTGTTCTTTAGTGCTACATAGTGTTCCATCATATGGATGATAATATACATCAAAAACCCTAAAGATGCAACAAAAACTTTTTAAACCTAGTAGACCAGTTCAGCAGAGTGACAGGTTACAATGTCAGCATTAACTAAAAGAAACAATAGTTAGCTAATTATTAATTAACTAAAAGAAACTATAAGAGACCTAGTCAAATGGAACAATAGTCATGTTCATGGGTAGGAAGACTGAACACTGAAAATTACAACTTACCAAACGCAATCTACAGGTTCAACATAATCTCAATACAGATACCAATGTCACAGAGTATAATTGAAAATTAGGTACAAACCTGTTCAACTGAAGTTTATATGTTAACCCCCAGCCCCTCCATCTCCTTCTTTGGAGCACACGTCGGAGGCAAACAGTGAATTATGTCAATCATACTACAAAACTGTCATTAACAAAGAAGATTCCTTATTTTCCTGAATCCAGGATAAAACAGAGTCTACATGTTTTATTGTAATAGGATTTTGGAAACTCAGAATCAATACAAGGAAGTTGAAAATTCTCTGACTGTTCTCCCACCCTCTGCCAGAAGTTCTCATTGGAATGAGAGCAGGAGACTAAGGGAGGTCAGCTCCACACTGGATGCGATAGAAGTTGTCACCTGAAAATTTAGAGTTTGATTGGAAACACAGTAAGACTTTATTAATAATTTCCTGAAGAAATTTATTTTTTCTTTTTAAAAGTAAATAGTTATGTGTGAATTAATTCCAATACATAGTCTGTATGCCTCTAAAATGCCTTCTTTAAATTCTAGTGAATTTTTTATATCATTTTACTATTATATTTAACTATTTCCCTACATTGTCTTGATTATTAAGATAGGAGAATACATTTTTATTCTCATTATTATTATCATCATCAAAATTATTCACAAATAACTCAAAGAGACTCAGTAAGGATAATCACTCTACTTTTTAGTGTAGAGTTCCTGTCATTCATTGCTACAATTATTACTATATATCTTACATATTTTATGATATCATATGTGCATGCACATTATTTCTTCAGAGAATATTTTATTTACTATGAGCTTGCATTATTTTTAATTTAATACATCCTTTTGTGTTAATAAATGTACATAAAATTATTTTAAAATAATGGATTTTTTAAATTATATTTTATTTTCCACAACGATTACAGCCAAGAAAGATTACAGGAGCAGTTGTGCTCTGTCACAACAGGTTGTTAAGTCTGAATCAATTCAGTGACATTCAACAGTAACTCTTACTCAGTTGTCAGTTCATTTCTGGCTATTGTACATAACTTTACATATACCTTTGCCCATTTTTATAATCATTTTCTTAGTGTAAATTCTCGTAGATTTTTCTCAAGCAATATTGTAAGGCTTTGTGTCTATAGTGCTAAAGAACCTTCCAGAAAGATGGCCTCAGAGCTAGCTGTTCAGTACCTGAAGAATGTCCATTTCCCTGTAAAGGATCTCTGGTGTCGTAGTCCGTAGAGTGTTGCACTGCTAACCAACGGACTCTGGCAGATTCAATCCCCTAGGTCCCCTGCAGGAGAAAGTTGGTCATGTCTCTTCCTGTTAAGATTCACAGCCTCAGAAACTCAGTGAAGTGTCACTAGAAGCCAGGATCAACTCTGTAGCAGTGAGTTTGGCATTTGTTACGGTGTCTTCCCTCAGTTCTCCAGCAGGCTTGGGTAAAGACGTCTGTCTCTGGTTCTTGGGACAGCAATCCCAAGTCAGCTGTGTCTCATGTCAGTCTCTGGTTCTTCGCCCAGTCTGTTGTTCTGCTTCTGTTGATCTTGGTCTGTCTGGTGTAGAAATCTCTGGTCCCAAAGGACGTGTGCTGCTTCCTCTGACTTTTTAGTGTTAAGATTCCCCAATTTCTGCTTCTGAATCTACTCCATTCAATGACCCAAGTCTGGCCAAACACCCTATGGATAGACCACCACATCCTAGTCACATGTTCCCACCCATCCGTATGGTAAAGTCAAAGTCAGTCAATGACTAGAAGCCCATCAGTAAACCCTTAACACCACAAATTATAATATTTTTAAAGTGACTTGTACAAAAAGATCCATAATTAAAAGCCTATCAATTGAAAAAATTAGAAATAAAAATAGAAAGTTGATCTTTTCCCTCTATCAGCTATTTCTTTTTCTCTTTTTGGGTTATTGCTGTTGTTAGGTACTGTCAGATCAACCACTACTCAGAGTAATGCTATGAGCAGCAGATCTTGCACTATCCTGTGCCATCCTCATCATATCTGATATTCTCCAGCCCATTGTTACCATCACTGTATCAGTTCATCTTGTTGAGGGTCTTCCCCATTTTCTGACCCTCCATCATTCTCTGCAAGAGAAGGATTCCAGTCTCCTCCTGTGCAAAAATCCACGGTCGGGTCAGCTGTGAGTCATACTTGACAACACCTAACAACAGCCTTTCCCAGCATATCTTTTTCCATGGACTGACCCCTCCAGACAACATACCCAAAATATGTGAGATGAAGTTTCACCATCCTTGCCTCTAAGGAACACGCTGGTTTCACTTCCTCCAGACTTGTTTGTTCTTTTGGCAGTCCATAGGAAATTCATTTACTTCACTACAATTTTAAGGCACAAACTGTGGTAGAGTGAACTGGAATTACTTTAATGACAGATTTGTATTATTGTTATGGAATCTGTTATCAACATTTGCTTTAATAAAGCTATTATATACAACTTTTGCTGTATAAGATAAATATGTCTTTCAAGAGTGCATTCCTGAGGATGTATATGGTAGATATGTCCTTCTGTAAATAAATTGGAGTCCAGAAGAAAATGTTTCATTATGTCCATAATACTTCATTAATTACTTCATCAGTGCTAGTGATTTTGTCTATTTTAATGTGGTATTAAAAAAATTATCCATTCTTTCTAAAGTAACTTTTTAGTTTTTACTGCTATGATTTTTTTAAAGAACCCTAAATTATTTAGCAAAATTATTTTATTTTGTAATGTGAATTATTGCTCAAAATTTTGGCCTTTGTTTATTTTGTTTTGTTTTACATTACTGTGGTAAATACAGTCCATTTACTGCTTCTAATTATTGCAGTCCAGTCTATGACTAATATATATTCTTTCGAAGGGGGGAAAGTACTAAGTTTTGATTTTCCAAGATATAAAATTAAATTCATTCTTAGGTAATCATTTGAATAATTTTCCATAATATACAACTTTTTATTCACTAATGTGCATTTGGAAGAAAGATGGGCAGTCTCCTCCCATGCAGTTTACTGCCTCTGAAAACCTGCTAGGAAATCAACTAAGTCTATCTTGACTAAAAGGGGTAACAAAAATGTACATTATTTTCATGATTGTTGGTGTTTTGGTGCCATCTTGTGGCTTGATGTTATAGTAACTTCAGTACACAAGTATTAGATAAAATGTGCAAGTAATATTTCCCAATTGCAATTCATATATTAATATAAATATGTAGTAAAAAATTGAGATTGAATTGTCATTTTATCACATGGACAGATACAAATGGTAAAGATCTAATATGTGATTCTCTGCTTCTCAGATTTTGTTTTTCTGGCTTTTGTTCCTAGTTGCTGCTGTTTGAACGGTCTTGGATGAACAGATGGAAGTCTTCTGTTCTGCATGAAGGGGAAGGAAACATACGAAGCATGAAGTGGCGAGGCCACTTGATTGCCTGGGCCAACAACATGGTAAAGCGAGTCTTTGTGTCTGATACTTATGTTCGGGTGGGATTGAGCTGACGTCACTGTAACCACGAGAGCAGTTGCCCTCCTCACTGAGATGGGCATTTCTAAAACGTACAAATACAATTGATATTTGAGGGGTTTTGACTTCCATAACAAAGTGATTCTGAGCATGTTATGGATTCTTTATAAAGTATAAGAAACCTGCATGTGAAGAAGATATTGCGAACGTTAGCTTAATGATGAAAAAGCTTTACTTAACTATGACAGAGCATCCTGAGGTTGCTGCAAGATAGGGCAAGGTTCTGATTGTATCCATAGACCACTAAGAGTCATAGTTAACTTACTGAAACCTAAAAACATTTGGGATATAGTCTTGCAAATATTCTCTACCTATTAGCCAGTAGGGAGCTCTGGTAGCCCGGCGGTAAGAAGCTGCACTGCAATCCCAAAGCATGTTGTTCAAATCCACTAGCTGCTCTGTGAGAGAACAGGCAGTCTCTTTTCATTCATGCAATTTATTGCCTCTGAAAACCCACTGGAGGGTCAGCTACGGGTCACTTCTGAGTCAAGAGCATACAGCAACATTAGCCAATGGCAAATAGCAAATGATTTGAAACAAGCACAGATTATTCCAGATTTCTGTGTTACTCTCTAATCACAGGCAAAAATACTAATTTGGTTTAAAAATAAAAGATCATAAGTTTTGGTCTGTACTTATATATGATTTAATTTGCTATGATTTGAGGTTAGTAGAAAGTTTGTGGAAATGTCTCTTTGACACCTGAGTGTCTTTTAGAATTTTAAGTTATAATTTAGTTCTCTTTTTATTGTGACTTCAGTAAAAGCTTATAAAACAGATTGGTTTTCTATTTAGCCATTCCTCCACATTTTGTTTTAGAATATTAATTACAGTAGCCACAATATAATTACACTTTTCACACTGTCCCCCGATTGTTCTCATTTCTGTTAATGCCCTCAGGGCTTTATCCCTGAGCAGATGCTGCTCTTTTGGAACCTGGATGGCAGGTTTTTTGAGATATTAACCAAAGTTTATAGTGGACTTGGATTTCCATTCATTCATTGTTATACATTTTCCTCCTTACACCCCCCCCCCAATTCACTATTCTCTTTGGAAACAAAAACCCTTTAATTGTTGCATAATTTCCTCCCCCCCCGCCCCCCAGTCCACTCTTCTAACAGTCCAGAATAAGATCTACGTAGCAGAATGGCTGGTTATTTTAAGGAGTGAGTGTCTCCTGATGTTACCAGTCAGTTTATTGTTGTGATTATGTAACATCAAGTCAAACCCAACTGATTATGTAACGTCAAGTCAAAACAGACTCATAGCTGACCCTTCATCAGGTTTTCAATGACAGTAAATTGCATTGGAGGGGATTGTCCATCCTTCTTCCATGGAGCAGCCTCAGGATTCAAACTGAGTGCAGTTCCACCTTGTCGGCCTTTCTATTATCCAACAGAAAATTGAGCCATGGTGGGGAGTTTTTTCCCAAGTTCACAGGGCACTTAAGAATTTCAAATTTATTAATGTAATAAGCTACTTCAGTTTAAGTGATAGAACTCTCCCAGAATCTTTCTTGTTATTCAGGACATTTCTTAGTTCTCTGGTTTATATGCACAAATAAACCAATACATGTTTATTTTTAGCTAGCTACTTGCTAGACATTTCCATTCAAGAACTTAAAAATGTCAAGCATAGCTTTTACAGTGTAGTAGTGATTTTTAAGATTCTGAGCTTTTCTGAAAAACATACCCTGTTTTGTAGTGATATAATATAGTTAGAAATATTTCTTGTCAATCAATCACTTTGGAAATGTACTTGTTGAGCTCTCTTATGTTTTAAGTTTGTGTAGGATTTTAGTAGCCCATGCCACCCCTCATAAAATCTCTTTTGTCCAAAAAGAATGTTTTTCTTTTGTTTTTGGTGTGCAGGAGGGTTTATTCAGAGCAGTATTTTCCTTTGCACGACTAGCAAGTAAACACAGACAATATATTGTAGTGCTAGTTACTGGTAGTGTGCAGCAGTGGCTGTTAATAATTTTTTTTTTTTACTTTACTTCTCCCACACAGAGGAAATATAATGTCACTTTATTTTCCAGGGTGTGAAGATTTTTGACATCACCTCAAAGCAGAGAATCACCAATGTGCCCCGAGATGATATAAGTCTTCGCCCAGATATGTACCCCTGCAGCCTCTGCTGGAAGGACGACGTGACACTGATTATCAGCTGGGGGGCTTCTATCAAGGTGGCTGTGCTTTTCTTTGTAATAAGCCCTGTTATTTCAGACCCACTGAGGATGATCCAAAGCAGTAGGAGTTCTTGAATGGCTTCTAAGAACCAGAGTATTTTCACCTTAAGGTCGTATTCAGATAATCATTTAATGCTCAGGGTTTTATTTTAAGATATATTCTTTCTTTTCATCTATACAAACTGACCTATTTATGAAGCCATATGTGGCTGGTTTTACTGGCTAGTCAGATTCTCTTCTTTATTATTCTTTTTCCCCCTTTTGCTTTGATCCTTAGTTTCATCATTAAAATTATTGATAGTAGAGATAGAACATTAAAATCAAATCATCCCTCTTGCTTGGTAATTGTTTGATGGAGAAGAAGCTGGGACTTAAACAGTCACTAATAAGATTGGGTATATTTTATGATGTATAAATTACCTGACCCTTATGTGCCTGGATAAGTGAAGTTTTGCTTGTCTACATTGGAGTTCCAAACTCATTTACACTCATTTCATGTGTACTGAATGCTTTTTTTGCATTAGATGATTTAAGAGCAGAACTTTGTCTCTGCCTTTCAAAGATATGTGGCTTAATATAAAAATTAGCTAACGTATTAATAATAAAAGAAAATGTCACAACAATAACAATAATAATAACCTAATAGGTTGAATTCAGCCTTTAGTGTCAGATAAACCTGGGATAATTCTAACTTTTCCATTTATTTCATTTGTAATTCTCTCTAAAAATTGGAATTGTTTTTAGCAAAATAGGGATAGTATTAATTTTCACATTTTGAGATTTGGAAAAAATTAAAGAGGGCAGGTATTTAAAGAGATTAGCACAAAACCTTGTTTATTTTAAACACTCAGTAAATTGTAAAGTTGTCTTGTTATTACATTAAGCTCTGAAAAAATTGTAACAGTTGTTTTTTCATTAAGATATGGCTATTTAAAATTTCACTCTTTTCTGGAAGAAGGAAGTGTACAAATGATTAATGTAGATATTATTACAATCAGATTATTATAATTAAAACAAGGGTTGTTAACTACATTTGATACAAGATTCTCTTTACCTTTAGTTTGGTATTGTTTAGATTCTCTTTGCTTTTTCCCTTAGTTGAACATGGGGTAGTTATTCTCATGTGCTAAGTGAACATAGCTCTAATCACACTTTTAGAGTGAAGGAGAAGAAGTTGTGCCCACTACTCCAAGATAACAAAAATGATTGCTCGGCTTTCCTACTCCATGTGGGTCACTTACCCAATAAATTTATATTTTTTATATTTTTCCAAATTTGTCACATGTGCCATGTGGGGGTTTTTCTTTCTTATTAAAAACAAAGGGGAAAAATCTTTAGGGACACACAATACGCTTACTGATTGCTGTCAGACATGCTTTCTATAGTATAATGAATAATGGTCCCCACAGATGCCAGTTCCTAATATCTGGAACCTTTAAGTATCACTTTGTATGGTTAAATGATGGTTATTGCCTTATCTGGAAGAAGATGTAATTGCTTTGAAGATTCTGAAATGGAGAGAAGATCCTGAATGTTCAGGCTATATTTAAGTGTTATCACAAGCATTCTTAGAAAAAGACAAAAAAAGAGAAAGATGCTACTGTCCTAGATGTGGAGAAGGCAGTGTGACCACAGAGACAGAGGTAAAAATGATGGGACAAAGGAGTGCTCACAACTCCTAAAAGCTGCAAGTATGCAAGGGATGGGTTGCCCCCTAGAGCTTCGGGAGGACGGGTACCTTGTCAATACCTTTATTTCAGCCCAGTGAAATGTTTCTGAGTACTGATTTCCAGAACTGTGGAAGAATAAAAGTTCTGTTTCATGTGCTGCCAAGTTTATGGCAATTTGTTACAGCAACCAAATGAATCTTAAGCATTTTTCCCTGGGCCCAAGTTAAGATAGAAGTCATATAAAATGTTTTCAGTATAATAAATGTTATTTTATTAGAGAATTCTTTTCTTCTCAGTCATTTAGTTCTCTATTGAGCTCTTCTCTCAATATCTTACTGTATTGTTTTGAGTAAGTTGAAGATTAGAATGTGAAATTTCCTCTCAAGATAGAGCAACCTTGCTAGGGAGAAACAACCACAAATAGTGTGTTTGTAAGAGCCAACTCTTTACCTAACTCATGCATTTGCTCCACAAATATTTACCAAGTAACTATAGTGTGCCTGGTAGTAGTCTCCTGTTGTGGATACGTAAGCTAATAGATGAAGGCCCTCTCTTAGGGAGTTCACATTTTAGTGCAGAAAAGTGATCATGGTCAAAAAGTAAACAGGCTGAAAAATTCACTTTGTCTGTGTTGATCCTTGTCCAGGAGACCATCTAAACCATATAAACACAGAACAGGTTGGAATAGGAATGCTTCTGTGTAAAGAGGGTCAAGAATAGCACCTCAGAAAATTAATATATCCAGTTAAAATTCCGCAAAGAAACAGCTATGCAGAATTGAAGACAGGAACTGTCATGGAGAGCAAACAGGAGATAAAAAATTTTTGAGGCAGGAGTGTGATGGGTTTGCTTTTGAGGAAAAGCAATTATTTTAATTATTATTTTAATAATAATTAATTATTTTAATAATTGAGGAAGCAATTATTTCCACACTGGATAGAGCAAGTTTGGAGGAGAGTAGTAGGAGATGACATTAGAGAGGTGTGCGATGTGCTGTTGTGTGGAACTGATAGAGCCTGAGTGGCCTGTGTAAAGTCTTTCAGGTTCAGTTTGAATAATTCTGTTTGGTTTCTTTTGTATTATTAATGTTTAAACCATTTGAAATGCTATTCCTTGTGTACTTTTGTGGGCACATTAAAAGAGTTTTTTCTGTCTGCATTGTGTAGGGTGCCCCCGCTATGTAATTTGTAGTTTCCCTCAAAATATAATCTTCCAGAAAGGAGAACTTTGTGTAAATGGAGGATGAAGGGATTGTATGACAAGAACAAGCAACAAATGATATAAAACAGTGAAGGTGGAGGAAAAATGGCAGGTCACTTCAAAGTGACACTTATGCAGCCATATTCAAGGATTCAAGTCCTGGGCTAAGGAGTGAAGAACTTACGTGTGTTTCTGTGCTGCATTGGTGATACCAGGAACAGTCTGAATATGTATACTAAACAGATGAAACAAAAGCCTTGTAAAAGTGTGCATGCCCAGTGTTCTATCAGTCCTGGAAACCAGAGTCTAAAAGTGTCAGGTATGGGCTATTGCTTATAATACAGATGAAAAGAAAAAGTTTACTACATTAAAGTAGATATTGGTATATTCATGTGTGAAATATTATAAAGACATCAAAGAACTTAATGGTGTTGAAAAATATTTAAATAAGAAATTATTTGTGGTCTATTGCTAGGTTTTTTAAAAAGTAGCATCCTTTCGGTTTTTGTTTTGTGTTGCTTTTGGTTTTTCTTTTTGTGGTTTTTGGTTTTGTTTTGGGTTTTTGTTTGTTTAATAGTGACACTTTTATTGGTTGGGACTATAGATGATGTTTTATATTTGTGGGAGTTAGATTTTTAGTTTTCTGGTGTTGGTGGTGGTGTTGTGTGTCATTGGGTCGCTTGTGACCCTTAAGCGACCCTGTAGACAGCAGCTCTGAACCCTGTCCTGTCCTGAGCCAGTCTCACTAATTCTGACACACCAAACCCCATTGCCCAATTACTGTATCAATCCATCTCATCTGGGGTCTTCCTTTCGTGTGCTGTCCCTCCACCCTTCTGAGCATGATGTTTTCCTCCAGGGACTGGTCTCTCCTGGCCACGTGCTCAAAGTATGTAAGATGGAGCTTCAGAATCCTAGCCTCCAAGGAGAAGCTTGGTTTCACTCTCTCCAAGACAGATCTATTTGTTTCCTTGACAGTCCATGGTATGTTTAATACCCTTCCAGCATCACAACTCGAAGACACCAATTCTTCTTTCATCCTTAGTCTTTGTCCAGCTCTCCTCTGCATAGCAAGTAATTGCGAAGACCATAGTCTGGATTAGGCACGCTTTAGTGTCTAGCTTGATGTTGTTTTTCAGTACTCTGAAATGGTCCCTGACAGCAGATTGTCAAAATGCAATTCTTCTTTTGATTTCCTGACTGCTGGTGTTAAGAGTATTGATTGTGGAGCTGAGCAAGCTGTAATTGTTTACAACTTCAGTCTCTTCTCCATCTATCATGGTGCTACCATTTGGCCCGGTGGTGAGAATTTTTGTCTTCTTGGTGTTGATCTTCAATCCATCTTGAAGACTACAGTCCTTGACCTTCTGCAGCAAGTGCTTTAGATCCTCTTCAGTTTCAGCTAGCAAGGTTGAGTCATCTGCATAACGTAGGTTGTTGATGAGCCTTTCTTTAATCCTGATGCCATATTCCTCCTCATAAAGCCCTGCTTCCCTAATGATTTCTTCTGCATATGGATTGAAAAGGTATAGAGACAAGATGTACCCTGATGCATTCCTTTCCTGATTTGGAACCATGCAGTGTTTCCCTGCTCCGTTCTGAGTATTGCTTTCTGGTCCAAGTGTAGGTTTCGCATAAGCACAATAAAGTGCCCTGGGATTCCCATTTTTATTGTGTTCCACACAGTCAAATGCCTTTGCATAGTCAATGAAACACAGATAGACACTCCACTTGTACTCTCTACTTTCTTCCAAGATCCATCTGACTTTGGTAATAGATGGACTGGCATGGGGCATTTTGAGTCTGATGACCATATGATATATTACTCTGGAGATGAAAAGACAAGGAAAAATGGGGTTGCCTTTATAGGTAAAAAAGTAATTTCTAGATCCATCTTGAAGTACAACATCGTGAGTGACAGGATTATATCCATA